CAACTCAACCCAACCCAACTCAACCCAACCCAACCCAACTCCTCACTTGCTTCTCGCTCAAAGGACAATCTGAAGGGGACAGGGCGTCCGTGGGCTCATCCAGAGACCAAAAGATGCTCCCACAACATTAAGGGGGACACCCCCCCTGCACCCCACGTCCCCACTCGATGGGAGTTCACTTATCACCTCCTGCTTTCTCAGCGCAAGGACGTGGAGACCTTCCAAAGGGGCTACTGAGAGACACCTTCTGAGAAGGAAGTCGCTCCAGGAAACCCAGATCAACCTCAGTGACAGCCCTTTTGGGTCGAGGGGAGCGAGGGGATCAACCCAGGCTGGCACAGGGTGAACCTCAGCGGGATGAGTTCCTGAAGGGGAGAGAGACAAGGTCAAGGGCGTTCAGAACGTGGCTGAAAGCCTGAAGAAGGCAACGGTAGGGCCGGGACCAGCCAGGAGGAGAAGGATGAAGAGGGTTTTTTCTATGGGTCAAACGGAACGGTGAGAAAGCCCTTCCCCTCTTGCCAAGACCTCAGAGAGGGAGGAAGGAGGCTCAAAAACCATGAGGGGGTGTTCGAGGGGAGGAGATACCAACACCAGCCCAGGACAGAGCCCTGAAGAGGGAGCTTGCCCACTCTTCAGGAGCCACGGGAGAACCAGGCACAAGGCTCTGAGGATTGTCACTACACGGAGCTGTTTACTGGAAAGAGCCCTTGTGGCTACTGGTTTGAGGAGAAAAAGCCCCCCCTTGCTCTTCCCTGCCCCAACTCCAGCTCCTTCCACCTGCCTTGGTGACGTCTCAACCATCTCCACCCCAGAGACGATCCCTGATTGAAAAACGCCAGGCGTGACCCCCCCCCCCCCTCCCACCTTCCTCCCCTCCACGAGGAACACAGCAAACCCTGGGAGGAGGAGGAGGAGGAGGAGGAGGAGGAAGAAAACGAAACAGCAAAAAGGGAGGAAGAAAAGGGAGAACAAAGAAAAAGGCTGGACAAACAAGACGATGAAGAAAAAAAAAAAACCCAAAACTCGCTGGCATGGAAAGCTTTCATCATCATCATCATCATCTTCGTCATCGTCTTGCCGTTGGCCAACCGCAAGAGCAGGTTCCTTGAGATGAGGTAAATCTGTGCGACTCCTTCCCGGGCTGACTCCCTGCCCGGAGCAGAGAGGACGAGTTGCCAGGGGGGTGGCCCAGTGTGAGAGAGGAGAACGGACTGGGCCGCCCATCAGAGGGACCAGCTGGTGGAGGGCTCTGCGCTGGGGGTTCCCCGGGATGAGGTAGGGCTGGGAGAGCAGTGGGAGCTGCCGCCGCTGCTGCTGCTGCTGCTGCAGGAGCTCTGGGTGCTGGAGCCTGCGATGAGGTGGACAACCGGTTTCTGGGCGAAGAGAACTCCTGCAGGGTAGAGAGAGAGAGAGAGGGACAGAGAAGGGTCACTGGGACGACGAGGTGGAACAGTTGAGGAGGACACAGCAAAGAGCTGGGGCTGTCCAACCCCAAAGGTTGTTCAACCCTGGACAGGCTGGAGAGGTGGGCCCAGGTGAACCTCATGAGGTTCAACAAGAGCAAATGCAAGGTTCTGCACCTGGGCCGGAACAATCCTGGCCACCAATACAAACTGGGGGGTGAGGGATTGGAAAGCAGCCCTGAGGAAAGGGACTTGGGGGTGCTGGTGGATGAGAAGCTGGACATGAGCAGGCAGTGGGCAGCTGCAGCCCAGAAGGCCAATCCCATCCTGGGCTGCATCAAAAGATGCGTTGCCAGCAGGTCCAGAGAGGGGATTCTGCCACTTTACTCTGCTCTGGTGAGACCTCACCTGGAGTATTGTGTGCAGGTCTGGAGCCCTCAATATAAGAAGGACATGGACCTGATGGAGAGGGTCCAGAGGAGGGCCACGAGGATGATCAGGGGGATGGAGCACCTCTGCTCCGAGGACAGGCTGAGGGAGCTGGGGTTGTTCAGCCTGGAGAAGAGGAGGCTCCGGGGAGACCTAATAGCAGCCTTCCAGTACCTGAAGGGAGCCTACAGGAAGGCTGGGGAGAGCCTGTTTAGAAAGGGCTGCAGTGACAGGACGAGGGGCAATGGCTTCAAGCTGGAGGGGAACAGATTTAGACTGGAGATGAGGAGAGGGTTCTTCACTGTGAGGGTGGTGGAGCACTGGGACAGGTTGCCCAGGGAGGTGGTTGAGGCCCCTTCCCTGGAGATATTCAAGGAGAGGCTCGATGAGGCCCTGGGCAACCTGGTCTAGTTGGGGGTGTCCCTGCTGACTGCGGGGAGGTGGGACTAGATGGCCTTTGGAGGTCCCTTCCGGGCTGGGCAATTCTATGATTCTATAAAGACCTCAGCCCAACAGGAAGGGGGTCGGTGCAAGACGAAGAGGCTTAGAGACAGATCCGAGGGGGTCAATGACAACCAGGACATAAGGAACCCCCTGGGACTCGTTCCAGCAGCCTCTGTCTCAGGGATGTTTCGCTTATAAAAGATCCCAAAGATCTTCAGCACCTTTGGAGGAGAGAAGAATTCTTTTCATAGAATCATAGAACGGTTTGGGTTGGAAAGGACCTTAAAGATCATTGAGTTCCAACCCTCCTGCCCTGGGCAGGGACACCTCCCACCAGACCAGGTTGCTCCAAGCCCCCTCCAACCTGCCCTTGAACCCCTCCAGGGATGGGGCAGCCACAGCTTCTCTGGGCAACCTGGGCCAGGCTCTCACCACCCTCATAATGAGAAAATCCTCTCATCTCATCTAAATCTCCCCTCTTCCAGTTTAAAGCCATTCCTCCTTGTCCTACAGCTCCCCTCCCTGATCCAGAGTCCCTCCCCATCTCTCCTGGAGCCCCTTGAGGGACTGGAAGGGGCTCCAAGGTCTCCCTGGAGCCTTCCCCCCCCAACTCTCTCAGCCCCCCTTCCCAGCAGAGGGGCTCCAGCCCTCCCAGCATCTCCGGGGCCTCCTCTGGACCCTCCCCAACAGCTCCATGTCCTTCTGCTGTTGGTGGCCCCAGAGCTGGAGGCAGCACTGGGTGGGGGGTGTCTCCCCAGAGCGGAGCAGAGGGGCAGAATGCCCCCCCTCACCCCGCTGGGGGTGCAGCCCAGGATGCTGGGGGGCCCTTATATTTTCAAAACATCAACAACCACCACCACCAGAAGGAAAGGACGTTCACCTTGACCGCTAGGACTAGAAATAAAGAGAAGAGGAATCATTTTCTCTCGAGCTTTCCAGGCTGGAGGGGTTGTGTGTGCCCTGCGTTGGCAAAACCCACCCCCCTGGGGTGCCCCCTGCCACCACCCCCCCCCGAGCAGCGGGGCTTTCTCACCGGCGTAGATGGTGCCGTTGATCTCCACCGACATGTTAATGCTCCCGATGCCGTTGGGGGACAAATTCAGCGCCGCCGCTGCCGCCGCCGCGTCCGGTTTGTCTTCTTTCAAGAAAGGAGAGAGGCAGAGTCAGAGAGTAACCCCCCCATTCCCCGAGGGGAGACACGGGTGGACCCCCCTTTGGCGAGGGACCCCCCCACCACGGCCACTTCCAGGCTGATTTTAAGCCTATGAAGTTGTCTGATCGCTTGGGTTCAGAAATTGAGAGTTTGGCAGCTATAGAACTCCAAAGACTTAGACCAAAGCTTGATTTATTTATATTTTTCCCCACCCCTTTTTTTCTTTTTTTCCCCCAATATTGATATCATCAACCAGCTCATTCTTTTGGGAATGAACAAGGTGGATCTAGTGGTAACGAGTTCTGACACACGGTGCCTTCGCGCTTCCAAAAAATAGTCTTTTAGATCCTCTACAGAATGGTAAAAAAAAATAATTACTTAATCACTCTGATTAAAAGATCCACGTAACGGTAACACAGGCTGTGATGCCAGTCCCCATATACTAGACCACCCCGATAAAATTTAATCCTGTTTTGTCAATCCCAAATGATTAATTTTGGCCGATGGAAGATGTTTAAATTGTATGGTACATACGTATCTATAAAACGTTTTTGCACTGAGTAATTCCTTTGGATGTTTTAATTTCTGAGTGCCTAATCTGAGATGCTTTTCCAGTCAAGAAAGCGTTCTACATATGACCTAGAACTGCATTTTCAAGTTGAAAAATTAGAACCAGAGGTGACCAAACCCCATTAATCACCATTTTCAAGTTGAAAAATTAGAACCAGAGGCAACCAAACCCCATTAATCATATTGTCTCCTAAGGTACACGAGATGCTCTTAGAATTGGAAAGGTTGTTGGTTTTCAACGTGAAGCAAAGTAATCCTTTTAAGTGCTTCACTCATGGGTTGGTGTTGTTCTGAGGGATTGCTCAAGACAAAGGATGTAGGGGTTGGTGTTGTTCTGGGGGATTGCTCAAGACAAAGGATGTGATAAGGAGAAGAGTTGATGGGACAAAATTGTTCCTAATTTCGGAATTGACACCTTTAAAGAATTGACACCTTTAAACTGTCCTGGGCGAGCTCTTGGTGTTTTAACCTTGTGATATGAACAATTCCAAGCCACAGACTTGGTGGACAAGGGCAGAGCAACTGACGTCATCTACCTGGACTTATGCAAAGCATTTGACACTGTCCCACACGACATCCTGGTCTCAAAATTGGAAACTCATGGATTCGATGGATGGACCACTGGGTGGATAAGGGTGGCAGTCAAGGGCTCAATGTCCAGGTGGTGGCCAGTAATGAGTGGTGTTCCTCAGGGGTCGGTACTGGGACCAGTACTATTGAACATCTTTGTTGGAGACATGGACAGTGGGATAGAGCGCACCCTCAGCACGTTTGCTGATGACACCAAGCTCGGTGGTGCAGTTGACATGCTGGAGGGAAGGGATGCCATCCAAAGGGACCTGGATAGGCTGGAGAGGTGGGCTTGTGCAAAGTGCATGAGGTTCAACCAAGCCAAGTTGCAGGGTCCTGCACCTGGGACGTGGCAACCCCAGGCACAAATCCAGGTTGGGTGGAGAATGGCTGGAGAGCAGCCCTGAGGAGAAGGACTTGGGAGTGTTATGGATGAGAAGCTCACCATGAGCCGGCAGTTGGCCCAGAGAGCCAACAGTGTCCTGGGCTGCATCAGGGAGGTGGTGGAGTCCCCATCCCTGGCTGTGTTGAAGGGCCGTTTAGATGCAGTGCTAAGGGACATGGTGTAGGGGAGGACTTTGTAGAGTAGGGGAGATGGTTGG